ACAGGGCATGGCCTGCCGAGGGGGTGGGGGAGTGAAAGAAAGGGGCACTTGCCAGCCTTGGCCGCCTGGAGGCTTTTAGGTGCCAGTGGGGCAGACAGGAAAACTGTCCTGGGGCCAGATGAAGGCCACTGAGCTGTTCAGTTAGGACTCATAGTCCTGGACCAGTGCTGTGGGAGTTGGAAGTAGGGTTGGGGGGGAGGGGGCCAACGTGGCAAGCCAGTGAGAGTGCAGGCCCCGTCAGCGAGACTCCAGGACCTCACACACCAACAACCCCTTCTCCCACACAGAGGATTATGGGAAGTTCCCCCAGCAGAGTCAGGCCTCGAGCTAGAAGGCCAACAGATAAGGGGCTTGTTGAGGAGAGTGCTGAGCCAGAGCAGTGGGCCATGGGGAACCAGAGGAAAGGCAGCAGAGAAACCAGCCTCCCAGGAGTCCTGTGGGAAACCCAACCTTGACTCCTACCTCCCATTCCCTCTTCCCCCTCTCATCTGCCCTTACCTCTGCTCTCGGTCCACCTGGGAACGTAGAGTGGCTCCTCACCTCCCCATCTCCTTTTATAAGCCCTTTCTGACTGCCTGGTCAGCCTCTCAGTCAGGGAAGGCAGGCAGGCCTTGGCTAGGAAATACCTCAACTGACTCGCTAAGGGAAAGGCCAGTTAAATAAATTATGGTACATCAACCCAATGAGATTTAACTTGGCATTTGACATTTAAATGAATGAGAAAGCTTTTGTTGTATGTTGTCATTAGCAGATGTTGTAGTTTGTTGTTAATGATTATGTATAACAGGATATTGTAAAAATTAAGTTACAAATTTTTTATGAAAATATTCCTTACATACAGTTACATTGGTATTCACCAGCTACTACGGATTCAGATTTGGCACCAGTGCTGAGCTTGAACCACACAGCAAAAGTCACAGTATACACCCAAGCAACCACCACCTGCTGGGGGCCTGGAGACCTTTGCAGTAGAGTCGGGACTCAGGGAGTCATTGGGGTTGAACGAGCAGAGTCCACCAAGCTGCTGTCGATTCAGATTTGGCCAGCATAGGAAAGATGGTGCCTGCCCACTGGCCTTGTGGGAGAAAGTCTCCAACAAGGGGACAATGGTAGCCAGCCCTCCAGCCCTCACCCTGAATCCACACAACTCAGTTTCTCCCTGGTTGTCTCTGGCACCCCCTGAGCTTGATCAGAATTTCTTGAGTTTTTTAAGAAAGATAGCTGAGCTGGCTTAGTCTGGCTGCTTGTTGACAAAATAGTCTCTGGCAGTGAGGGAGTTGGGGCAGGGTCTCAGGGAGTCCTTAGGGTGGAATGCGTGGAGTTCAGATTCCGAACAGGCCGTGTGGGAGGATGGCTAAACACAGGGAGAATGGCGACCGTCCTTTCAGCCCACACCCTGAAACTGCACAATTCAGTTTCTCCCTTTGTGTCATTTGTACCCCCTGAGCTTGACCAGAATTCCTCAAGAATATTTTTTGTTTTGTTTTGTTTTAAACATATTGATTTCAGAGAAAGAAAGGGAGAAGGAGAGAGAGAGAAACATCAATGATGAGATATAATCATTGATTGGACGCCTCCTGCACACCCCTTACTGGAGATTGAGCCCACAACCCGGGCATATGCCCTTGACCGAAATCGAATCTTGGACCCTTCAGTCCGCAGGCCGACGCTCAAGCCACTGAGCCAAACCCGCTAGGGCTCCTCAAGTGTTATTGTGTTTTTTTTTAAAAAAAAACAAAAACATTTTTCATTGATTTCAGCGAGGAAGGGAGAGGGAGAGACAGAAACCAATCATTGACTGGCTGCCTCCTGCATGCCCCTCACTGAGGATCGAGCCCGACACCAGGCATGTGCCCTTGACCAGAATCAAACCTGGGACCCTTCAGTCCTCATGCCGACACTCCATCCATTGAGCCAAACCAGCCAGGGCTCAAGAGTTTTTTAAGAAAAACTTAAGCTCAGCACTCTCCCTCTTGGGAGCACACTGCACCTTTCCTTTCTTTTCCCCTCTTTCTCCATCCCCTTCTTCCTCCCAAGAACATTACCTTTGCTGTTCTCTCTGCTGAGCTCCAAGGACTCTTCTTTTGCTTCTGTAACTTGTTTTCTGAGCTTACACAGCCAACTGGCTCACTTTTTAAAAATATATATATATTTTATTGATATTTTACAGAGAGGAAGAGAGAGGGATAGAAAGTTAGAAACATTGATGAGAGAGAATCATCAATCAGCTGCCTCTTGCATACCCCCTACCGGGGATGTGCCTGCAACCAAGGTACATGCCCTTGACCGGAATCGAACCCGGGACCTTTCAGTCCGCAGGCCGACACTCTATCCACTGAGCCAAACCAGTCTCGGCCAGCTGGCTCACTTTTAAACTACCTCTGTAACTTTCTAAATAAATTTTCTATTATTATTTGGATTAAAAAAACTGTTGTTCATGCCAAGGCTGGCTGCTTGCTACCAAAAGAGCCTTGGGCAATGCAGGACTTGGGAGGGAGGGAGTCTCAGGAAGTCCTCAGGGTAGAGCAAGTGGAGTTCACCAGGTTAATGCAGATTCAGATTTGAGAGTGTGGGAGAAAACCTCAACATGGGAACAATAGCGGCCATCTCTGCAGCTCTCGCCCTGAATCATACAACTCACTTTCTCTCTGTATGTCTCTGCTGCCCACCTCCACCAGAACTGCTGTCCCTCTGCCAGAGCCCAGGGTGAGATCCTGCAAGAGAGTGTCTGTTTGTGAATCTTTAAGAGGACACCTGTGGGTCTAACCGGTTTGTCTCAGTGGATAGAGCATCGGTCTGTGGACTCAAGGGTCCTAGATTCGATTCCAGTCAAAGGCATGTACCTTGGTTGTGGGTGCATCCCAGTAGGGGGTGTGCAGGAGGCAGCTTATCAGTGTTTCTCTCTCATTGATGTTTCTCTCTCTTCCTCTCTGTAAAAAATCAATAAAATGTTTTTTAAAAAAGAGGACACCTGTATCCTAGCTGTGCAGTAGGCAACCAATCAATGATTCTTTTTCATCATTGTTTCTATCTCTCTCCATCTCCCTTCATCTCTGAAATAATATATATATATATATATATATATATATATATATATATATATATATATATTTTTTTTTTTTTTTTTTTTTTTTTTTTTTAAAGAGGGCACCTGTGTTCCCAGCAGTCTTCTGGTCTCACCCAGAAAATGGAATCTCTGCTGATTTTCACAGCCACGTGTTTTATGGGCTCTTTTCCTGGTACTGCGCTAGGATGGGAAGTACAATACGGGGCTGGGACCCCTCACTCCTCAGGGGATACTTCTGCAGCTGAGACATCCTTCCCAACCACCACACTGTGAGGCCAGCCTGTTTCACATCTCTGTCCCTCTTACCAGTCTCAGCATGGCCTCTTCTTTATATCCTTAGTTATAGGACTTCTTTCAGCTAATCTGCAGATGGTTCTCTGGGTTGATTGTTCTATTGTATAATGTAGCTGTAATTGTGATGTGCTCATGGAAGAAGGCAAGCACAACATGTACTTGCTCCATTATCTTGACCAGAACCAAAACAAGCTCTTTAACTGGCAGAATAATGCAACACACATAGGCCACTACCTGAAAGCTTATGTGGCTTAAAAGCATGTGCTCCCTCTTTATATGCTGTTTTGATTTTTGAATCATATAAATGCATGCCTTATTTAAATGTAATACACATGTATGCATATATTGTATGTATGTAGATATCCAGAATGCTTAATAGAAAAATAAGATAGAATGATACATCTGATTAGTTACCATTTATGTAAATTTCAATAATAAGTGTATGCACAAAACAATACTACATATCATTTATGGATGCTATTCACATGTTTGCAAAAGCATAAACATAAGGCCATCAATAGTTCTAGTTCCTTGGGTAACTGCCAGGGAAATTCTGTGCATTTACAAGTATTCTATGCATTTATACTTATCCCACTTTTGTGCACAAATGATAGCATAATGTTCTACACTTTGCTTTTTTTTTTTTTTTTTGGTAGTTTCACTGTACATTTATGCTTTTGACAAAAGAAACAAAAACCTCATAAAACCAAGTTATCCACCATACACACTTGAATAATATTGTCACATCTGACAGCATAATCTTCCAAGTTATTTCTTTATACTCTGTACTGTCTGAAATTAATTTAAATGTTTTCTATGGCAAAAAACCCTTTCATTAACCATTATAAAAATAAGTTAAGAAAAAAGTTTACTTTTTCATATTAAAAGTGCTTCATCTTTTGTCCTTATTTCTCAAATGCTATTGCACACAGTAAAATTGCTGCTAAGCTAGGAAGACAAATGGTATGGCTCCTGTTTTGTTTTGTTTTTGCTTTTTATTATGTGTTTTGGTATTTTCTCATTATGATTTTGGGAAAAACTCTAAGTTCTGTCAATATTTACTCAACTAGTGGAATGCCTCTCCTGGGGCAGGGCCTGTGGTTTCCATCTGCTCTCAGCACATGGTCCTGCCACAGGTGCGTCTAAGAGCACAAAGTCAGCATCTGGTTATGAGGTGCTCACCTTGCCTATCTTATTTCCAGGGCTCCATCATTGCTGAGTACTGACCATAGTCTATCCTCCTTCCATTGTACCAGACTGTGATCATCGCTGTTTCTGGTCTTAGTATCTTCACTTCCTAAATAGGAACATGTAGACATCTTCCTTCTTTTAGGAGTAGTTTGAAAATATATATCCAAGTATTTTAAACTTGGATAACATTAATGTGCCTCCTAAACATTAATGTGCACGATCATATTGAGAGTCAGATACCAATTCGAATAGTGGGTGCTTTACTTACATTGTTGTGTCTTGTAACTCTCACATTGCACTGCAAGGTTGACATTATTATTCCCAACATGCAGATGAGAAAACTGAGGCTGTGGGAGTTAGGTGAATTTTTAAATAGCTAGAAAGGGGAGGAGTAGAGAATCAACCCAATTGGCTTAGCTGCAAAAACCATGCTTTTTTTTTCTCACAGTAATACTATCTCCAGATGCAAGGTCTTATTTTCCTACCTTACCTCCAGGAAATTCAGCTGAGAAACCACAGCCTCTATTTACTTTTTGGAACAGACTTCGGAACGTCTCTCCCCAGAAACTTCTTGGACTGTACAGTTGTATTAGTCCTGCTAATGTTTTCCTGAATAATTAAAATAAAGGAAATGTGATATTGTAGAAATAAGAGTATCATCTTACCCCAGGTATACAAATCACCCATGACACAAAGAGGAAGAACATAGCCGAGACCGGTTTGGCTCAATGGATAGAGCGTCGGCTTGGGGACTGAAGGGTCCCGGGTTTGATTCTGGTCAAGGGCATGTACCTTGGTTGCGGGCATATCCCCAGTAGGGGGTGTGCAAGAGGCGACTGATCGATGACTCTCTCTCATCGATGTTTTTTTTTTTCTTTTTTCTTTTTTCTTTTTTTCTCATCGATGTTTCTAACTCTCTATCTCTCTCCCTTCCTCTCTGTGCAAAATCAATAAAATATATATTTTTTTTAAAAAAGGAAGAACATAATATTTCCTTTGCCTTTTTTTAAGAAGCTAAACCACGAACAATAGATATATAAAGGCAGCCTATGCCTGGAACTATGACGAGAGCATGTCAAGAACCAAGGGTTATGATTAATCCAAATCTGTGCAAAGTGGGGTTGGAGGGTCCCCTTTCCCATGTGCGGTGGGTTAAAGTAGGAAACAAATATTTGACTATTGAGAAGTGAGGTCTATGTCCCCTCCCCTTGAATGCAGACGGGCTCTGTGACTGCTTCGACTAACAACAGAATACGGTAACAGCTCCAGGGTTTATAATAAGACACTGTTACAGACTGAATGTTTGTGTCACTCCAAAACTCCTATGTTGAAACCCTACCCCGACCCATCTGATGGCATCAGAAGCTGGGACCTTGGGAGGTGATTAGGGTTAAATGCAGTCATTAGGGATAGATGAGATATTAGAGTCAGGAAAAAAATTTTTTTAAATATATTTTATTGATATTTTACAGAGAGGAAGGGAGAGGGATAGAAAGTTAGAAACATCGATCAGCTGCCTCCTGCACACCCCCCACTGGGGATGTGCGCGCAACCAAGGTACATGTCCTTGACTGGAATCGAACCTGGGACCTTTCTGTCTGAAGGCCAACGCTCTATTCACTGAACCAAACCGGTTTTGGCTAGGAAAAAATTTTCTCTCTGCTCTCCACCAGTCAGGATATATCAAAAACTCATGCCAAAACTGGTTTGGTTCAGTGGTTAGAGCGTCGGCCTGCGGACTGAAGGGTCCCGGGTTCGATTCCGGTCAAGGGCATGTGCCTTGGTTGCAGGCACATCCCTGGGGGGGGGGGGGGGGGCGGTGAGGCAGCTGATCGATGTTTCTCTCTCATCAATTGATGTTTCTAACTTTCTATCCCTCTCCCTTCCTCTCTGTAAAAAGTCAGTAAGATATATTTTTTTAAAAATTAAATTAAAAAAAAAAGAACTCATCAGCCTGACTAGCCTCTCTTCCCACTTTTTTATTGTTTTTGCTTTGATCAGAGTAGGGAAACCTTACCTTCAGTGAGCAATTATATGCAAACCCACCATGCAAATCAAGGCCTGGGTTGCACACCCCTTCTGGGGCCGCTTTCTAGGGGACTGGAAGAGAGCCCACAGAGATTGTTTCTAGCTCATCCAACCATCCTAATCTCAGATCAGCCCAGAGAGGCCTCAATGACTATTGGTGGACCAGAAAATAAATGAGGTGTCAAGTGAGCCGGAGGTAGAAGAAAACATATACCAGGCGAAGGTATACTCCCTCAATCAGCCCACCCAGTGGGGCTTTCCACCCTCCTCCAGAATCCCCTCTGCATGTGCCCAGACAATCTCCTCATTCATCCCATATCCCAGTGCCTGCTCATGGAGTCTGCTCCCACCAGGAAGGTTTCCTCTTTCCTTTCTGCTCACTGACTATATAACTCTAAAGCATCCTTTGAGACCCAGATGAAGTCTCCCCTGCTTGAGGAGACCTTTGTCAATGTCTCCTTGCCTGCTTCTAAGGACATGCGTAATCCTTTGAGTTCAGGGCACCAGTCTTGTAGCCCTGTTTCTCTCATGGTGCCTCCCACTAAGATGGCCACAAGCAGGCCCTGCGCTGAGCACACCATAACCCTTTCAAAGATCTATGTGCTTTGGCACATGCTATCCTCTCTTGTCTAGATTGTCCTTTCCTGGCATTATCTCCTTCAAAGTGTATAATGCTTCAGTACTTCCCTGAGGAACCCTCCCCACATCCTCTCCCACATTATTGCCTTTCTCTTCTCAACGTTCCTATTCTTCTCAGAACCTATTTCCACCATAGCATTTGTAGCATAGAGTCACATGAACTAATAATTCAATTCCATTAGACTGAAGGGAAAAAAAACCCTCATATTGTAGAAGCATTTTTAAAAAATATATTTTATTGATTTTTTTACAGAGAGGAAGAGAGAGGGATTGAGAGTACATTGATGAGAGAGAATCATCGATCAGCTGACTCTTGCACACCCCCGCAACCAAGGTACATGCCCCCAACCAGAACCAAACCCGGGACCTTTCAGTCTGCAGACCAACGCTCTATCCACTGAGCCAAACCGGTTTCAGCTGTAGAAGCATTTTTTGAGTGGCTACTCTGAGCCAAGTCCTAAGTGCTTAGGGAATAAAGATGAATCAGAGACCTGCCCTCAGGGCTTAATACTTTGTGTTATGCCTTCCAAACTAGACTGGGGCTTCCAGAGAATGAAGGCTCAGATCTGGTTCTTCTGTGAGTCCCCGTCACCAACCACAAATCAGCCCATAAGAAAGCTTTGAGGCCCAGTTGGTGTGGATCAGTGACTGAGCATTAACCATGCACCAGGAGGTCAATTCCTAGACAAGGCACATGCTTGGGTTACAGGCTTGATCCCCAGTAGGGGGCACGAAGGAGGCAGCCAATCTATGTTGATGTTTCTCTCTCATTGAAGTTCCTATCACTCTCTGTCCCTTCCTCTCTCTCTAATAATAATAATAGTAATAATAATATTATTATTATTAAAGAAAGCTTTGTGAGTAAAAGATGACTTTTTTGCCCAGCCAGTGTGGTTCAGTGGTTTAGTCACCCTGTCACCATCCAGTTCCCAGTCAGGGCACATGCCTGGGTTACAACTGAACAATAAGTCTCTCTCATCATTGATGTTTTTATCTCTCTCTCCCTCTCCTTTCCTCTCTGAAATCAATAAAAATATATTAAATAAAAGATTGACATTTTTTAGTTGTAGTTTCAGCTAGGACAAGTCACTTCAGTTTCTCATATGCTAACTGGGGACATGATTCCCAGGACTGGACTGAGAATAGGAGGAAACTATGAATGCCAAAGCCCTTTGGAGTTCAAATATCCTGCCATATGCATGAAAGATAGTGACAATCCCTACATTCCCTGCCAAGGTCTGCCATACTCCTCAAGAATTGTGAAAGCAGTTCTCACTAGCATTGAATTCACATCAGTCAATTCTGGCCCTTCCTGAATTTTTGAGAAATTTCTGCACAGAGCCATGGATTTCCCTCTCCAGCATGTGGGCTCTGACTGTTAGGAAATCACCATCATGCCTCCTGCTTTCAGCCCAGGCCCTGGCTTGTGTAAAACACAATGAAAGAAATAATAATATATCAAGGTAGAAAGGGCCAGATCTGGGAGTGTCTTCTAGACACTCACATTAGAGCTGGAGACATGGTTGGGATATTATGTTAGAGAAAACATAAGCTAAATGATGGGAAGGACCTGACTGTGATCCCCTTCAAGTCAACAATAAGGCCAAGGTAAGACTCCAAATCCTGGCTCCCATACTGTCCATTCCATCTAAAGGCCACCAAAGCCCTTCCCCATCTGAATCCTCTTAACATTTTCTCTCTCTCCATCTCCAGACACCTAAATGCCCCAAAGGATCCTTACTGTTCTCTAAACACATCATCTGCTTTCAACTTCATGCCCTCGCATGTTATATGCTTGTGTGCATCCCTGTTCTCCCACTCATCTAACCAGATGAACTCCTATTTATCTCTCAAAGTAAACTCAAATGTTTGCTTTCCTGAAACAAAAGTATAAGCTCAAGTATAAACGCCATTTTACCAGAACCCATTCCTCTCTTCCACAGTTTATCCAGAACCCATTCATCTCTCCTTCTTCTATAATTGTCTTTGTCCTCAGTACACTGTATTTTTCTTGAGGACAGAGATTATTATTTCTGCTTAGTTTTTCTGTCAAAGGGCCTATTCAAGGTGTCTAGCACTTGTTGGCACTCAGTAAATGTTAACCAAAAGGAATATGAATCAAATTACTTAATCTCTTAGGGTCTTTGTTTTATTGTCTATGATATGAAAGTCAAACATTTGGCAAAGACAAATGGTGAATAGTGAATGTAAAACAAATACCACCATCATTGATTCAGTTGTTGAAGCGAAAAATGGTCAGTTTTCTAAATTTCCACTTATCACGCTCCAGTCACCATGACTTGTTGAACCTGTCAAAGGACCTTGGTAAGAAACTCTAGGTTACCAGGGAATTTCCCATCAGATCAGAGCTGTCAGGAAGGATGGGAGGTAAAGCACGCTTGAGATAGATCTTATAAAGAAAGGAAGTAGGAGGAGAGACTAATCGGGACATAAGTCACAAGGGGAGCAAATAAGGGATCCCAGGAGAAGGGAGAGGTCAGGATGGATCATCGGGACGTAGAAACCATCCAGTCTGTGCCCTCAAGGAGCTCAGTTGGGGAAACATAGAGGCACAATTTTGTTCAAAAGCAAACTATTTCCTTCCTGATATTCCTTCTTTACTTGGCTTACAGGGTACCAGGCTTTCTAATCTTTTTTACGCTCTGTCTCAGTCTGGTTTGCCGCTCTAGTTTCCTCAAGTTCAGAATTTTATTTTATTTTAATTTTTAAAAATGTATTTTATTGATTTTTTTACAGAGAGGAAGGGAGAGGGATAGAGGGTTAGAAACATCCATCAGCTGCCTCCTGCACACTTCCTACTGGGGATGTGCCTGCAACCAAGATACATACCCTTGACCAGAATTGAACCTGGGATCCTACAGTCCACAGGCTGATGCTCTATCTGTTATGCCCAGACTTCGTGATCCCCAAGGACCACCAGGGAGCCGAGTCCGATGCAATAAACAAAAGAGCC